GCCCTCACTCAAGATGGCGAGGCCGCCTGAGGACGGGCCATGGATCCCCACAGTGGCCGCAGGCCTCCCCGGCCGGTCACCTGCTGCAGCTCTCTCTTCTGGGCTTCCAGGCGGCCCTGGGAGCGCCCCAGGGCCTCGGTCTCCTGGCTGAGGCGCTGCGCCTTGGCATTCAGCTCCGCCTCCCGGGCAGCCAGCTCCTCCTCAAAACGCTTCAGCTCTTCCTGTGTGTAGGCAGGGTGCATCTCCACGGTCTGCAGGGGTGGGGACGGGGGCCACCAGTAGGGTGACTACAGCCGTGGCCCAGCCACAGCGGAGAGGGCTCTGGTAACCCAGTTGGTTTGGAGAGGCTGGGAGGCCTGGGCGGGTGCGTGGGTGGAAGAGCCCTGAATGGGAGCCCGGGGGGCGGACAGAGACCCGGGTAGGGCAGGGGGGAAGCAGGCACCCAGAGAAGAAAGGTGGCCAGAGACCCTGAAAGAAGAGTTAGGTCTGGGGGAGAGATTCAGGACCCTGAGCGCCCCCAGGACCTCACCTCCCAGCCCTCCCCTGTGTCCCCGAACTCCTTCCTCTGGGTGGACGCGAGGAACTCCTCCAGGGTCACAAGGCGGTCCTGGTTGGTGTCCACCTGGGGAGCCGGGCAGGGGTAAGTGACAGGCCGGGCCGCCCTCCCTCCGACCCCCGCCCGCGGCCCTCCGCGCACATTCTTCATCACGTGCTCCCGCATGCGCAGACGCTCCTCCTCCATCTCCCGCATGTCGTCCTCCTCGTTCTTAGGGTCGTACACCTTCTCCAGCTGCGCGGCCAGGCGAGAGGAAGTCGTACTGAGGGATCCAGACTTTCCTAGGCTGCTCCGCCCCCTTACCCAATAGCCAGACTTCAACTCCCAGCAGCCTTTTCCCCCAGGACTGGGGAACTGGTTTCCCCTGAGCACACACATGCGCACACACGCCCGCCCCACAGCCCCACCCCAGGGGCACCTGCGGGGCACGCGGCTGATCTGGGCACCTTGTGTCCACCGCTCCCAAGATACTCACCTCCTTGGTGAAGAGAGCCTCCAGCTCCTGCTCGTCCAGGACACCATCACTGTTGATATCTGAGGGGAGACGACAAAGTATCTGGGGGACTGAGGACGGAGTGGGTCAGGGACCTGCTAGAGAAATTCTGGACTGGTGTGGGGCCTGTTATCACAGGACAGGGAACAGTGTGTCTCCAACAGGACGGTGGCCTCCAGGACACCGTTCCCTAACAACTGGGGCCCCAAGGATGATAGCGATGGAGGTGGGGTTTCACTGGGACGAATTCCTGGGGCCTCTGTCATGCAGGACAGCTTGATCCCTGGTGGCTGGTGCTCTGGGCACAGACTCAACCCCTTTGCCAGGATCTAGAGGTGTCAG